CCAGGTAGGAGCACCCTGGGCATGAGTAAAGCCTCCCAGAAATGCCAGGTATTACAGCGGATTTGTGTGTAGCAAGCCTGGAGATCACCACCTTGGCTCCCACAGGCTGTTTTTGGGTTTGGGATTCATTAGAAAAGCGATGTCAATCCTCTGCAGCCAGGTGGTGGGTGGAGGAGAGATGGGCTCCTTCCCCTTGCTAACGTGGTGGTGCTGCTGCTCCCCCAGATCCTGCCCGCGTGGTGAACATGCCCCCCGTCATCTATGTTCCCATCGGGATACACGGATACATCCGCTGCCCGGTCGAGGCAGAGCCCCCGGTCACTCTGGTCAAGTGGAACAAAGACGGACGTCCCCTGCGAATCGAGAAGGTAACGAAGTCCCCAGGGGAGGGATGCGGTGGGGGCACGGAGGGGTTCAGACCCTCACGGCCTCTGCAAAGGCTGGTGAGCATCCCTGGGCACCCTGCAGGGCAGCCCGCCGCCAGGAGGGAAGCAGCCCTGTGGGTGGGATGACGCTGCTCTTCCTTATCAGTGGTGGGCAGAGTTAATTCGGGTTCTTGCGTGGGGCCCGGGGCGCCTGTAGACGCGCTGTCTGCATCTCCCAGACCTAATACCCGCAGGCCTCTGCGGTGACCTCCTGATGGCCCTGGATTTTTTTTTTTCCAATGGCAACTGATTGCTAAAAGACCCTTTTAACAAGTCTCTGTCTTCCTCTAATCAGGCTTTGATAGTCTGAGTAAGGATATTAGCCATTAAATATTTAAAGAAAACGCTCAGTATTTTAAATTTTTTGCTTAAATATTAATGACTCAAAGTTTTAATTCCATTGAAACGTGTTGCTGCTGTGGGTTCCTGGCCCTCGGTGCCCTCAGCCCCTCGGGTGGCGTTGTCTCCTTGGTGCCACCAGGACGGGTGGGCTGCGTTTGGGTCGGCTGATGTTGCCCACGTTTTGTCTCCCTGCGGTTGAGGAGGTGGCTTGGGTGCTGGGAATTGAATTGGGCATCTCCCGGGGACGTGACAGCCACCCTGGGCTTAGGTGGGGGGCCTGGCTGAAGGGATAAGAATGAGCTGTGGTGGGTGTAGGATAAGTCAGCTCTCTCTTTCTCACGGCTGCAGTATTCTGGCTGGAACCTGCTGGAAGACGGGTCGATCCGGATAGAGGAGGCAACCGAAGATGCTCTCGGCACTTACACCTGTGTGCCTTATAACGCCCTGGGTACGATGGGCCAGTCTCCCCCTGCCCGACTGGTACTGAAGGTAACTTGCCTGCTAAAATCCTTGCTCTGCACTTGTGTCCTCCCATGGGCCGGTCCTGTGCCGAGAGGAGCTCCTGGGGTCGTGCGGGGATGCTGGAAGCCCAGGCCAAGGCGGTGTGAATGTGTGGGAGCTTTGTGGAGGCATCTTATGCTGTAGTTAGGCTTTTTTAATATGGATTTTGCAACATGCACGTCACTTGTTCTGCCTTCCTATTCAGCCCGATGCTGCAGGGGAGGATGAGGTGGGGTTTTTTTTTCCCATGCTGCTTATTTGGTGATTAATTCTGTGCAGAAACCGAGGTTTTACATTGCTTTTCTGAGCACTTGTTTATGAAGTGACCCGAAGAAGGGCTCTGTGCCCCCAAACTTGTCCACTTTTCCACCCACCTGACTTGGCTTAGCAAAAACCTATTGCCTCTTGCTCTGAGCCCGGTCTCTTACCTGTGCTGAGAAAGGCAAACGCGGGCCCTTGCAAGCATCCTGGAAGGGGAGCAGCAAAGGTGCCGTGTGTGCTGCGGTCAGAGGTTTGCTTCCCACCAGGGCAGGCAACCCCTGAGTGCCCCTGCCTGGAGCAGCTGGAAATTCCCCACCGGAGCAGCGGCACGGCTTTCGGCACAGCCTGGGCCACAGCCGGTGTGTGATAAGCTTTGGTGGCGCTAGTCCAGGGTAGTTTGAGGAAACACGTCCCTGGGATGGCCTTTTTGCCAATAAAACACTTAGCCCTCCTGACCTGGGCTTGGGTTCACGGGGGATTTTAATAAATGGATGATTTGAGTGAGCTTTAGAGATGCTCTGTGCTGCCTGCAGAGCCCGAGGCGTGCTGGGTTCCCTGTGCAGTTCCTGGGGTGGGAGCTGCTGCCTCTTCCTTCCCGGAACAAAAAGTCCTGTGCTTGCGAGCAGCGGTGATTCATGGCATCTCACTGCGGTTCGCGTGATAACGCTTTGAGTATCGCAGACACACACATCCGCCAGGGCGGCTGCATGGTCGACGCAGGTTGATGTCTGATGCGATGTGGGTGGGTTTTTTTTTTTTTTTTTTTTTTTT